GAGAGAGAGAGAGAGAGAGAATTAATATAAATAAAAGGTTTGTTATTAGCTGATTGATGTTCTTTTCAGCATCACGTCTCCAGAGTTTCATAGACAGACCGTCCAGGAATTACTACGCCCACTCGTTGAGGGGTATCAGCAATTGACTTCTTATATATCTCGATTATTCTTTTATGCACTTTTCATTGATACACTTTTTACCATAGTGTATGTGTCCGTTCGCGCTTGTGCGTCCGTCTGCTCGGATGTGTCTACTTGTTTTTTTTTTTTTTTAGCTTTCATCCCAAGAAAGGCGGGGATGCCACGAGCATGCAAGGGGTTACAGAGAGTGGGAGCAAGAGTAAAGAGGCGTGATAGAGAAAAGGATCAAGAGAAGGACGGAGATTAGATCAACGCATCTGGAGATGTCGATTGACATTGCATTTGAATATTTGGAGATTATAGCTATAAGGAAATCAAGTAAGAGGAAGGGATTTCCACAGACGGGAAGTGCGAAACATGAAGCTGTTAAGAAGAGACGGTTCCATTTAACCGTTTCGGCAATGAAATGGTGGGACTGAGATGCCATCGTAGTGGCAGGTTTTAATTCATACAATTTGGGACCCAGCGAATGTAGCTCTCCGGGAAAGTATATATAGAAAAGACAGAGGGAAGCGACGGCACATTTGTGAGAGAGCGACTGTAAAGGAGAAGCCAGATCTGGGCCAATTCATTGCTTTTTTTTTTCATTTTACACTAACGCTTTAATATTTTCTCTCTTTTTCCTCTTTTCTTTCAAATGTTGTCATTTTGAATTCCGGTTTTACACACACAGAAACACGCACACACACAGAAACACGCACACACACACAGAGCGAGAGAGAGAGAGACAGAGAGAGAGAGAGACAGAGAGAGAGAGAGACAGAGAGAGAGAGAGATTGTGACAGATTTCATATACATGGCAAATTTATAAATACACATGTGTTACTCGCATGGTCGAGTGGTTATAATCTTCACTCTCTAACCATATATATATATATATATATATATATATATATATATATAAATCTTATATAAATATATATACGGGTTTGAATCTTACCATAATCGTATTGTCAAAGAGATGCTTTTTGATGTTATCGGGTTTGAATAAAAAACCAATAATCTGAAACCAATAACTAAAAGCACAAATTATTGCCCATTCAGCACAAACAAATGATATTTCACCTTTGACATTAATTTTTATGTGCAAATATTCGGAAATATACAGAAACAAAAACACATTAATTTTCTTTGATATCATTTTAAATCCAATTGATAATTACATAAAACTAAATGTGTATCGCAAATCAACTCATGGAAATGACCTCATAATTTTCTGTTCCTAACAAAATAAGTATCGGATTTTATATACGAGGCAAAAAATGGGCTTTCTATGGGTGCGTTCATTTTTTTTTGCCTCGTACTGTATATAAGGTGGACACTAAGTTTAAAACTGATTGGCGTCAGTCTCTTTCATGCTTGAACGTAATCTTCGCCTCATTTGTGTTATGTCAAAACCGTCATATCTTAAAGTTTACCTTATCACTTCTTTACTTACATACGCTCTATCACTGATTTTGTTTACTTTTATTCGTAATCATCAATCACTCAGTTAAGTACCATACGTGATACACGCTTGAGCGATCATATCTTTTTCCATCTTTCCGCAGCAGATTGCCTCTTCTTTCTACGATAGACTGGTCCAAAACAAGTCTATGGAACCCACACTGTCCTGCTATTACCTGATGGGAGGAGAAGAGGTCTATTCATATCATACATCGTATATATTTGCCCATATCGATGTAGAAATAAAACAAACAGAATGCGGATTAAAGTAAAATCGAATCATCAAGTATAGTACCCCAAGCAATAAATACGTTTTCATTGTTTTGAATTTTTAAAGATTTCAAAATGAAACTGACTGGAGCATATAGACAAGGAAGGGTGCTGAAAAGTATTCGCCCTAATCCGCTTCCGAAAACTTGGCCAAATGATCTGACATCAATATATATGGAGGTCTCTTTCTCTTTGGACAGAGAAACTTTTCAACATATAAGTAGCTTACTAACCAACGCGGTAAATTTCTAGAAAACCATTTTTTAATGATATTTTTTGTTAAATTACTATAAAAGAGTAAATAAAGTAAAAAGAATAAAATAATAGTTAAAAAAATATAATCAGTAATATGCAAGATGAATTCAGATCGAATCCCAGTCAACATAAAATAATTGAATCCATCACAATTGAACAAAAACTTGAACGGTGTTTAATAGCATGATCATATTATAAACAATGTCGCTTCAGGCCCATTTTAACAACACCGCCATTTCTTTCCTCCTATTTTCTAAACGGTAATCATATTACTATAAAATAATTACCAGTGTAATTCTTCTCTTACAGGCGGCATCAATTCACTTAGTGCCATTGTCTACAGTAAATCTACAGTCCATTCCTCTAACCTGATTTCCCTTTCGTCGCCGCCGTACCAAATGCGCATGCGTCTATTTTATAGCTTACGATTGCGTTCATTATATCGTTCTTCTGGGATTTCTGTTGAAGTCGCTGAAACATTCTTGCTTTCTGTATTTCCTACTGAGGATGCTTAATTGTATATACATGTACATATGTACCTAAGTACAGGGAATGGTTGTGGCGGAAAATTTAATGTACTCTCCTTGAAATTCTTGCAACAATATCGAATATAATTAGAGAAGTATAAATTCATAATTAAGTAAAGAAAGCGATGATTATAATTCTGTTAATGATGGCACTACTTTGACAAGCATGAAAATGAAAGCCATATAGATCGAAAACATGTCTGAGCCCGTGGATAACAAAGTGAATATGAAGGAGAATGAAAAATAAGGTGTATAGCAGGACTTGGCTCGGGAGCTGAGAAAAGAGTATGAATTACGAATCTTACAATAGTGTCTATAAGAGTAGGTGCACTTGGTGCTGTAGCTAAAACACCGAAATCTTTGCTTGGATGAGATGGAAATCCAAAGAAATTTTCAGAATGATTAGAACGCGACGTTGTTATAGTCAGTGATGATTACGAAGAAAGTACTGGAGATTTGGGGGTACATGTTGTCACTCAATAATCAGTATGAAATAATAATAAAACTAATGATAATAGTAATAATATCAGAATATTTTTAGGATGGCCTCTAAATGACAATAACTTTAAAAGGTCACGTGTTTTAAAGGTTATCTTCCCCTTACTAATTAGAATGTAATTCTAGACAAGAATAATTTTTAATTTAACTTAACAGAGTTGTTTTGAAACTTTGAATTTCATTACTGGAAAAACCCATTCTATTTTTGGGACTGGAATTCGTTCATTTCTTTTCTGTGTTTCAACAGGCTTGAAAAATCAAACCTTCAAAATTTGGAAATATGTTTTCTTTTTTGAATTCCTGTTTCACTAAGTATTTTTATTTTAATTATTTATGTTATTATCTTTCTTAAGAAATTTCTATTTGAAATTCTTCTTTTTTAATTTGCATGGCACTCTGCAATTTCCTTTCAAATTAATTTTATATTTAAATCCTATTTCATAAAAAAATACTTTTTCTTTATTTATTATTATTATTTTTTTGTTAGAGTTGTTTTAAAACCTTGAATTCAATTTTAAATCTTTAATTATTTTTAGAATTTATTTCATTCGCATTTGAAATTAGTTTTCTCATTTTAGTTATTGAAGTTTTTCAACACCGATATGTAAAATTGGCCGATTTTACGAGCGACCAAAAAACGATTCAAATCACAATAAGTTCTGTTTGAAATACATCTGAGTATTATGTTTACTGCAAATAGTTTATTTAATCTTATTGCTTTCAATTAAAGATAAAAATAAAAGATTCAAGAAACTTTTCTATTTATAAAAAATCATTTTAAACCTTAGGTATCCCCCAAAAAGTGAAGGTTCCTACTTTTGTGCCTATAAACTGCATTCATCATGAAACGGCAAGAAAACCTGAAGCCAATCGTGTGAGAATGAGGCTCTACAGACAGCGGATAACACAGATGACGTAGATAGAAGCATAAGAGTTGAAATTCCTGATTTCAATGATGATTCAGTCTTGCATGATTTAGTAAAAAAATGAATGATACAAGGTTCTTGCAGAATAGATATTCCTTCTTCCCCTTGCATTGAAAATGGCTCATGCCAAAAGAAATTCCCAAAGAACTACAGAGAAGAAACCCTTCTAAATTCTAATGGCTATCCAGAGTACGGAAGACGCAATATTGGAGTCACAGTTTAAGTTGGACGTCACTTAGTTGACAATAAGAACGTTGTGTCGTACAATGCCTACATGCTGAAAAAGTACAGAGTACAGATTAATTTAGAAATTTGTTCATCAGAGAAAAACATTAAATATATCTTCAAGTACGTGTACAAGGGACATGACTGTGCTTCTGTTGGAATAAGAGACAACCCAGCGGTAGATCGTGAGCAGAATCAAGATTGGCGATATGTTTCTCCTTCAGAACCTATTTGAAGACTTGACATCTCACAATGTCTACAGACTTGCTGTACATTTTGAAGGACAGCAAAGTGTTTGCTTTCACAGAGGCAACGCTTTGCAAGCTTAACAGGCACAGAGAGACCGTGACACTAATCTAACCTCACTGCATGGTTTAAACTGAATGAGTATGATGATAATGCAAAGAACCACTTGTACATTCGGCTGAATTATGTGTTTAATAAGCGCCCTAGAAGATGGACACCAAGGCAAAGGAATACGAATATCATCAGTAGAATGTATACAATAAGCGCTAGAGATGTAGAAAAAAATCATTTGCGAATCTGCTCCATATTTCAGGCTCCGTGAGTTTCCAGGAGTTGCTAAGTGTAGAAGAAGAAATCTTGCCAACATTTAAGGCAACGTGCCTGGGATATGGTCTTCTCTCAAACGATAATACAACATGCATTATTAAAAACTGCTGTCTGTCGGATGCCCTTAGAGTTTCGTGTTATGTTTGCTGCACTGTGCACGTATATGAACCCTGGAAATGCTCTTCACCTGTGGAACACTCACAAGGAATCCATAATTGAAGATTTCTTTCACCAAGGTTTTAATGCAAACCATGGCACTGAACTCAATTGATGCAATGACATTATTTGTTTAACAATTGGGCTGCCTAAACCTATTGGAGTACAACACCTTGACCATAGAAATGTATGTAGCCCTGGTATAGTACTACGCAGCAATCGACATGATCATGAGGGTCAAAATGACTCTATAATATCGTCTGCTGTTGACCTACGATAGCATCGATGTTATTATATATCCTCCTCAGTTGTCTATATTTTTATGCATCCAATCGTAAAGATGACGCAATGTATATTACATTACATTATCCTAATCTTTTGATCACGTTAACACAATAAAACAAGAACGTGGATGATTGAGGAGGTGAAAATCTGGCCTTGTAAAAATATTCAACTCGTCTACAAATAAAAGGAAAAGAAAGCAGATAAAGTGTAAATCCGACATTTCTATATTCTAGAAATAGATGAGGTAATTTACAAAAATTCTTTTTTTTAATCCAGTTTCTTATGAAAACAGATTCTGTACGACAGGAAATAGACGAGAAACCGGAATATTTCTTAATGACTCATATTGTTACTTAGACTCGGACTGTTACATCACACTGCTACTCAACCTGCCGCGCGGACTTGGTTTGATTCGGACTTGATAGGCTGTTATTTGTTTAGAGCAAGCTATACTGTTGGAATGTATGCGCCTTGACAAGTGTAAAAAAAAATCAATACCTTAATAATTATACATGTTTGGATGCTCAATAGACTAATTTGAGATTTTAAATACTATACAATTTTTATGTTTCTCAGTAAATTATAAGTTAATAAAACTAAGTTGCTATCCATGCAGTAGAGATATTGTGTCTTATTAATAATTTTTAATAAAATTATTTTTTTTATTTTTTTCTGAAATTGATTAATTAATAGGATATGTTATAATAATGTGTCTGCTATAATTTGAATCTACATAATTTGGGTAATTTTCCAAATCTTAATTTCTGTAAAAATTAAATGTTATTTTACATACTATACTACAAGTTGAAGGTGGGTTAAATGAACGAGTCAGGCGTCATCCCATCATATACGAGGGAATTCAAAAATAAATATTTGGAGTATCAAAAATCATGATACAATTTAAGCAATCACGATCGTGTGACCCGTACCCCATTAGGCTTTTAGGGGTACCGCCTGTACTGCAGCTGCATTAGCAGTGGTGTTTCCTGGGGTAGATAGCCTGACGGTGCTCAACACCCTCCTGACTAGTTTTCAGTTTAGAGTTTTTCCTTTTCCTAGACCGGTCGCCACCCAAAGCTATAGGATCATATATCTATAATAGCTAACTGGAGGAAGAAGTGGTGGATCGGTCTCAAGTCCTCAACCTTTCTCAAGTCTATTAGCAAGTAAGTGAATGTAATGAAATTGACTGGAATTCGAACTCGGCTCTCCGATTTACTATTCTTTACTCCTCTGTGCCACTATTATCAAATGTATGATAATTCTTGATTGGCAAAGTGGGGATGTTTTATGAAGGTTTTAAGCACATGAAGATAGAAGAGCAGACAGATTTTATCAGGTCGACTATATTATATAGTCGACTATATTATATAGTCGACTATATGGTCGTTCTAACCCGACGCCATAATTTGGGTAACACGAATATTTGTCAGGTTTATAGTATGATCTTAAAAACTTAATCTTATACTATATGTGGCCTTATCCCCCGAATATTGATCAATGTATGGAAAGCACGAAGGAAAACATCGATTAACTGTATTAGAAATTATTTTTTTCAATTCAGTAATGATTTGTTTATATTGCACACAGGCGCGAACAGACACACACACGAACACAGAAAAACACATACACGGATATGTCTGTAGGTAGAGACAATATCGGTATTGTTAAATAAAACTTGATGGAAAAAATTAATTCAGGCGAAATATACATTATATATTTATATATATATATATATATATATATATATATATATATATATATATATATGTATGTATGTGTGTGTGTGTGTGTGTGTGTGTGTGTAAAGATAAACAATAAAGTAACAATAAACTGGAAAGTGAAAAAACATACGACTAAAAGGAGATATAAACACGGCATTTTTTATGCACAAACACACAGACACACACACACAAACGCACTCACACAATAGAATAATCAACCTTGCACCAATGAAAAAGATGTTATCGTCCTATGGGAGGGAGCAGTTTCATCGTGCGGTAGCTTTAGAAAGTGTCTGAAAACCATACTAAGAGTTGACCCAAACGTTATTAGTATAACAGAGAAGACGGAAGTGTTTAAAATAATTCCCTGATTGCGCTAGCACGAACTCACAAGTCATCGTGACCGAGAGTGTGAACATAATGGCCTTTTTCTAACAGCTGATCAGTTCTTTCAAGCATAAAACACCTTAGTCGGAATCGGAAGTGAGTAAATAGATGAAGAGCGGTTGTCGGCGCTTTTTAATAAAACTTATATAGGCGCGTTCGTATGAATTCGATACACATATAAAATAATACACCAAATGAGATACTTTTACAGAGACATATGCATACACCATGTTTGTACGTACACATTTATATAAGTAAATATATTTACCATAAAGTTTTTCATAATATATAGTTAATTGATAATATTAGTTGCCAATATATATATTATAAATTAACTGACTTAAAATATGTTTCCTTCGCAGAATATTATAAATTATAATTTAATAAATTAAAAAATTATAAAATTGATAAATTATACAATAATTATGAATTAATAATTTTCATAAATTCAGCCTAATACCTGTAACAATCGGAGGAACCTCAAAGAATTTAAATAAAATATGTACACAAAATAGATCTGTTAAAAACAACACATTAAATGCCACAGTTACGAGACTGATCAAAGTTTTGATATATTAATCTTCAAGTAAATCAGTTAATTTGGGCAAAGGAACCATATTTCAAATTAGTTAATTTATAATATTTATGCTCTGTAAATTTACATTGAGCACTGTTTTGTAAAAATAAAAATATGTATAAGAACACCGGATTATATATCTTACTCTTCTTTCTTTTTACTATAATATATATATATATATATATATATATATATATATATATATATATATATATATATATATATATATATATATATACATAGAACTAGAATAGAATGGACAGAATATAATATAAAAGGCTCAAAAACTAATATTTCATGGCTATAATTTATTATGCTGGAATCGTAATCACGATCCAATTATCAAACTTACAAATTCAAAATTTGTGAATTTGTAAGTCTGATGAATTAGATCGTGTTTACGATTCCAATGTAATAATTATAACTATGGAATATTAGTGTTTTGATATTTTATATATATATATATATATATATATATATATATATATATATATATATATATTATAATATATATATATATATATATTTTATATATATATATATATATATATATATATATATATATATATATATGAATAGTCCTTAGTTTGAAATATATACTCAAATATACAAGAAATTATAAGTATTGAAATACAAACATTTTTAAGCATACATACTATTTTTCTCTTATTCCCCTCTCTTTCTCTCTCTCTGATTCTCTGATTCTATATATATATATATATATATATATATATATATATATATATATATATATATATATTAAGAGAAAGAATTATGACAAAGTGGATAAAACCTTTTATATAACACGTTTTGTACTGTAGGACTTCATTGGATTAAATTTATGTATGCGTCTACACATGCGTATATACGAAAGAATGACGCTGATAATCTAAAAAAAAATTTAAATGTATATTTTGGGTATATAATCTATGCCAATTTTATTTAGACTCTTGTGTTTATGCTTACATAAGTTTCTTTATGATATATCCTGTATTGTGTTAGTAACAGATCTGCCAAGAAACGTAAAATATTATAAAAATATGGACACAAATTTAGTGTGGATGACCTAACGATTCTAAATATTAGTACATTGTTTTACTTTTTAATAATTGCAGGATTTTTTTTAACTTAAATTCTTCAAGGATAAGTTCATCCTAATACCTGTAACAATCGGAGGAATCTCAAGGAATTTAAATAAAATATGTACACAAAATAGATCTGTTAAAAAACAACACATTACATACATGAGTTACGAGACTGACCACAGTTTTGATATATTACTCTTTAAGTTAAATTGAATTGAGTTCTACGAGCCGCTGGCGTATTTCGTAAAGAGGAAAACGTTAAAATTCCCTTCTTTCTCTGCCGTACGACAATGCTCTTGAGGTAAGATATTTGAGTGATGTCAAATCAGTCGGGTTGAAGCAATCGGATGTTTAGCCACACTGAGGAGCTGTGATACAGCGAAACAGTTTGTCTGTGAATGACTATATATATAATTTTTTGATTTAATATATGTACCCATATATATCTTGATAGATAGATAGATAGATAGATAGATAGATATAAATAGTTTCAGATCGAATGATATGTTCTGTCTCAGGTAGATGTGAGCAGAAAAGGATAGATATAAAAAGTCTTTTCGCCTTAACGTTTCGTAGATTATTTAAAGCCAGAAAATATTTTAGATTTAGTGGAAAACAGTTGGATTCATACCTTTTCCAAGGCTGTTTAAGAGTAAGTGAATATAAAATCACAACTGGAGTTAGATCTTGGCTCTCCAATTTTCAATTCCGAATCGCTTATCCACACATCCATACTTACAGCAAATGGAATTCCCAAACCTTACGATGAAGAGGGAGTAAGCTGTTAAAAAAGTGAGAGAATTTTTTTGTTAATAAAAATGAAAAAAAAAAAAATCTGAGACATTTGAAAATTAACCAAAGCAAAAAGGAAAAGAGAAATGATTCAACGCGTGAGAAAAAAATGTCTGAAAATGGCAGAACGGACAAACGAACACAGTGAATAGCCCAGACCGGTATTTATTAGGATGAGTAATTCTAATCTATTTGCAATCAAATTTTCTTTGTGAAGTCAAAATCAGTCTTCGTGCCTTTATTGGTCGTTCATTTCTCTCTGGAAATCGCCAAACATTTTAATGGACATTGAAAACATCTAGAAAATATAGTCATATAAACAATGTCGAGGAAAACCCAAATAAATGGTATAAAAAAAACGGCGAAACCTAACATAGAGATGTACCAATCAATAAAATACGCGATGCTTATTAGCTACAAAATCGACTTTAAATTAAAATAAAAAAAAATATTTCATTTTATTTCCTCTAGGCTTTTCTTCATATATTTATTTTTTAGATGTCTACTGTTTTTTTCCCTCTTTTTTACCTTCTTTTTTTAATTCTAATATTTTTTTTCTATCTTTTTTCTTTCTTCTTTTTGTTTTCTTTCATTCTTTCTTTCATTCTTTCTTTATTTTATTCTTTATTTATTTATTTATTTATTTCATTCTTTCTTTCTTTTATTCTTTTTTCTTTCTTTCTTCCTTTCTTTTAATCCTTTTTTCTATCTTTCTTATTTCACTCTTTCATTCTTTTTTTCATAATATCTTTCTTTTATTCCTTCTTCCTTTCTTTGATTGTTTCTTTTTGTTTTTCTTTCATTCTTTCTTTCGTTGTCTCTTTCTTTTATTCCTTCTTTCATTCATTCATTCATTCATTTTTTCTTTATTTTTATCTTTCATTCTTTCTTCAATTCATTCTTTCTTTTATTCTTTCTTTCTTTCTTTCTTTCTTTTCGTTAGATTTTTCTCTTTTTCGCTTATTTTTTCCTTGAGGTATTTCATGTTATTTCTTTCCGGATTTTAATTTTTTTTTCTTATGTTTTGTCATTTATTAAAAATTTTCTCATGCTTACATTTACATCAACATTTTTTTTTTTCAGTTTATTTATTTATTTTTTTTCGTTTTCATTTTCACTGTTTCTTTCTCTTTCTTGCAGATTTTATTTTTTTCTTTTTCAACCGAATTCTTTCTTCCTTATTTTTCTTTGGTCATTTCTCTTTCCTCCTTTCTTAATTCATTATTTTTTTTCTTCTCTTTGGTTCATTCGTTCCTTCATTTTTCTTTCTCTGCTATCTGTTATTCATTTTCTATCTTTATATATATATATATATATATATATATATATATATATATATATTGTTTCCTTTTGTCTGTGTTCTTCCTTTCAATTCTGAGTCACCGTTGCTTCCTCATTCCCTTTCTCAACGTCTTCCCTTTTTTCTTTCTGTCTTTCTTTCATTCTTTTTTTTTTTCTTTCTTTTTTGGGAAATATTTGTTTTGTCTTCATCTTCGTTTCAATGTGTCATTCATTTATTCTTTCCTTTATAATTTATTTTCTTTTTTTGACAGTTTTTATTTTCTCTTTATATTTCATTCTTCTTTTATAATTAATTCTTTCTTTCTTTCTTTCTTTCTTTCTTTCTTTCTTTTTCTTTCTTTACTATATGCTTCAGTGTGTTAACCACGTTATTCTCTTTCTTTATTTCTCTCTCTCTTTCTTTCTTTCTTTCTTAATGTTTTACTTCCTTTTAACAGTTTCTGTTTTCTTTTCATATTTTATTCATTCTTTTATTAATTCATTTTTCCTTCATCATTACTTTATTTCTTTCTTTGGCAATTTATGTTTTCTCTTTAACTTCCATTTATTCTTTCACTCATTCTTCTGTTCACCATTTCTTCCTTTCTTTTTTTCTTTCTTTCTTTTTTTGTCTTTCTTTCTTTCTTTTTTCTGGTTCACTTTCCTTTTCTTCTTTCCTTAACGCTTCTCTCATTCCTTTATTTTTATTCATTTATTCTTCAAATCCTTCCTTCATTACGAATTAAACCACAAACCTTTCACTTTTTAAAACGTGTCTCTCCTTAAATGCTTTTTTTTTTTAAAGCAGCTATTTTAAAAATATCATCTTCCTATTTTATTATTGTTCGCAATCTGCCACCTTTTCATTGTCGTTGGCAATAAACAAGATATTGAAATTCAGACAAAACATAAAACAATGTTATATGGCAACTCTGCTCTTCCATGTCTTAAATCTAAAGTTTTAATTCTGATTTGCATTCTTTATTGCCAGTCACTACTTAAAGGTTTATAATATGGACAGAAAAGCAAACACCACCTTCTCGGTAGACTGAGAGCATACAGGAAAACGCATTTTTAGATAACAATTTCAATGGTTGAATCTAGTTAGGTTAGGTTAAGCTGATTAATTTGACCATATGTCAAATATTGTTGGGTTATTCAATGATGAAATCTTGAGTCAAAAGTATTGGTCTGGTTCATGCTTAAATCAATATGTAAACATGGTTCCAGTTTATACTGGAGTCATGCGTTTCGGATTATACTTGAGACAAATTGAAAATATTGCTAGTCTTTCTACCTGAGACAAAAGAATAATGTAAGAATAATTTCATTTTACACTTAAGTCATACGATAAATATTGTTCTGGTTTATACTTGAGACAGAAATTAAATATTGGTAGTCTTTCTACCTAAGACAAAAGGGAAACTTTGGTAGAATTAATACTTGAGTCCATACGTAAATATTTTTTCGCTTTATACTTGAGGCAAAAGGTAAATATTTGTAGTCTTTTAAGAAAAAAAGAAACATTAGTCTACTTTATGCTTGAATTTATATGTAAAAAACATTTCCTGTTTATACGTGAGTAAATATTTTTCGTTTTATACTTGAGACAAATGTTACATATTAGTAGTTTTTCTACCTAAGACAAGAGGGAAACATTGGTCGACTTTATACTTGAGTGCATAGGAACAAAAAGGAAAAAATGGTTCAGTCCATATTTGAGACAAAATGTAAAAATGTGTCCGGTTTCTACTAAAATTAAAATATGAATATTTAACCACTTATTACCCGAGTCACAATCAAAATATTGGTCAGATTTATATTTGAAACTTCACGTAAATACAGTTCCATATGCATGAAAAACACGGTAAACATTGTTTGCGTTTATATTTGAGCGTGTAAGCATGGAAGTGAATGTGGCCAATTTGTGGTGAGCCATGCCACTCTTGCAGGCGATGAACTTTGAAAATTCTAAACACCGCCAAATTCGTAATAAATAAAACAAAAACAAAAGGCAATAATAAAAATCATTAAAAAGGTGTCCTTTTCGGCCAGTAAAAAAATGACGACAGCGAATGCTTTTGAAAACGAGGTCTGATAATCGGTAAGAAAGAAAGGAGGGCCTGAGTAATTATTTGGGTAGCTTTGCTAGCCTATATGAGAATGGAAAAGAAATGAAGAGAAAAGATGAAAAGGTACCCGGAATCTACCCGGGAGTTACTAAACTGTAAGGTAACACAGCGAGTTACGCCTAGTATTTGGAGCTCTTGGACTAGTGTCAAAACATTATATATATATATATATATATATATATATATATATATAATATATATATATCAATGCGATTATTGGCGACATCCATCGCTAGAAAACATAATATATGCATTAAAATCCTGTTCCGATATTTTACAACCGTCAATAATAGCAGATATTCAAAAAACATCTTTCGGTCGACATACAGGTATATCGTCTCATGTTTTTGATTTTATAAGGAAAAAAAAACACATGCCTGATGATGGATGGAAGACTGTCCGTAAGTACTAGCATTTTAACATCAAATAAACTGAAAAACTACAGACAACAAGTTTTTCTTCAAGGATCAAAACTCGCACTATGGATGAACAGGATTTTTAATGCATATATTATGTTTTCTAGCGATGGATGTCGTCAATAATCGCATTGATACTTCTGATTAATTCTATGTGATTATTCTTTGTATATGTAAAAATAATGTTTATATATATATATATATATATATATATATATATATATATATATGAATTAGAAAATTGCGGAAAAGCTGAACATGGTTTGAGTAGGTATGAAAAAATAATCACGTGAACAAATAACGTGATTATTTCCCTATGTGTTTTATAGGAATAAATTGTCGCTACCGACTCATGAGTTTTATAGATCGCCAGAGAGCAAACACAGGCGATCTCATTATTGAATTAAGTGGGCCACGTGAACATAGAGAAAGTGCATGTGTAGAATGGCACACGACGTCTAAAGGATCGCATTCCTACTCTATCCTCTATACTACACGGTCCGCTATTCTCTACTCTATTCCCTATGCTATTTTTCTATTCGGATCACGGTTCGATCGAGAATTATCGAGCAAGTACTATTAGTGCGAGTGTTATTCGAAGGCGTCCGAAACCAGAATTGTTCAACGGCGTTACTATAGTTGGATCTGTGAGTACAAAGTCTCTACTACAACGAGCATTACGAAAATGACAACGATTGTTCGTTGGCGCCACAAAAGTGGCAACGAGTGTCCTTTGACATCACAGAAGTGTGTATGAGCACATTCACTGTAGTATCTGTGTTTTCCATCAAGCTACAAAGTATTGCTTGCCGTCTTTTCTGCTTCAGAACAGTGTAATAATTGCAGGCTGAGTGAAAATTTTCATATACATAAACGCACAGTGATCTATCGATATATGAAAGTATACACACAAATATATATATATATATATATATATATATATATATATATATATATATATGTGTGTGTGTGTGTGTGTGTGTGTGCGTGTGTGTGTGTGTTAATACTGGTTTCATTAAATAATATAGACAAGTTTTGTCTATTTATTTTAAGGAAAATTCTTTCATAACGTCTGATAACCTTAATAACATTATCATTGAAAGACGAAAGAAAATCACCATGTCGATACATGTTTTATTCTTAATCCTTTCTAAGCTTTCGGGTTATATAAGCTATCATCGGAGATTAATGATGGTAATTTTGCAACAATGATAGTTTGTTTGCATGGAAGCTTGCTATGCAACGAAAAATTCGTGCATATGAAACGCAGGAAGTAAATATCGCATTGTGATTCATGATGTCGCACTTGACAACATGAGAGGGAATATGAAGAGAATTGTTAAGTATGGAAAGCCGTTGTTATAAACCAATAGCTTCTGTTATCAACTATAAGCATTTAAGTATATTTGTGGAGTTTTGATAATTTATTTTGTTCAGCTTAGGTTTCAAATGTTTCATGTAAATAGCTTCAAGAATTCTTAGTTTGTGTTTATTGTTCTCATGGTTAAGTATAGTTGTATTTTCAACAAGGATTTTCCGGAATTGTGTATGTGGCCAGTCTTGTTGTTTACATGTCTAAAAATGTTGGAATTGTCATTCAAATGGAGAGTTAAGCGTCGTGAAAGCGAGTTTGTGGTGTGACCAACATAAATATTACTTTATCCGTTGAAGATACAATCTCCCAGAGCGCTTTTCAATTTGTAAACTGTATTTTTTTTGCAAATCGCTAATAGGCGGGGAACAATCATTGCCAATAATTGAGTTGGATATACTGGATTTAGCGTAGTATATGATTAACTTAATTTTTTTGCTAGGATCTGTTATATATATATATATATATATATATATATATATATATATATATATATATATGAGCTGACATACCATGTAATTTCCGGGAAAGCCCAGTTCCCGTTCTCATATCCTTTATTCGGTTATCCGAAAGTAACAATTCAAAGTAGCCGTGAAAAATATTAGCCCTTAAGAGGGCTAGTGTCAAAATAACTTTACAATAGATATTGATTAACAAATGATCTACCGCACTGACAAATATTACAGTTAAATTATAAACACATGATAATTAACCTAGTAACAAATTTGATGTTAGTTTAACATGTATGCTAAGTTTCATCAATTTTGGTTTACGAATTCTAGGTGGCATCTTGATTCAGACGGAAATTTTCATTTAAATATATACATTTCAATATTGAATGGAGTGAAAGGTTTAAAAACAATTCTTTATTAATATTAAAGTTTCGATTTCAGTTTAGCTTTCCGTCGCTATTTGAATTAATATCGTTTAAATAAACCGTTGTAATTAAAAGTAAAACTTAATGAGGAAGGGTACGTGGCTCATGCCGGTTAAGGATGTTTGGATTTTTTAAGAAGGGTGTCTATTGCCACAGCTAAATTTTTATTTTTTGCCCAGGCGTTATATAGCACGAAAGAGGTTGCTATTCCACAGACCACAACAACAACAACAACCACAACAACAATATGATTTTTATAGGTAGAATGATGAGCGTGGTTAAAATTTCTATTCGCAAATAAGTTCAATTTAAATGTTATTTTACGTTTAAATGATCGATCCAAATTATTTTTATTTAATAAAATCGAGCCTAGCGAATGTAAGGCTGCACGTGCCGAAATTTGAAACGAATTAATTTTTTGCAATGTAAACGAATTAATTATTTTGCAATGTAAACACACCACAGAGAAAGAGTATGCTGAATTAATGTGCAAAATAAAGATTTTATTTAGAAAATAACCTGCGATTCGTTCAGATTTTGTCTATTAATTTTTTAAAATCGAACAAAGATCCGTGTTGGTCTGGAATTTTAAGCTTTGCAAGAGTTATATTATTGCGTAACATTTCGTAACACGCATGTATTTTAATTCGTTTAAAAAGTTTGCAAGACAAATTATCTCCCTTGCTTATAAACGCAGTAAACGGTGTCTCGCGTAAGACCCAGTGATGAGCTGCTCTCGGGATCCCATTATAGATTTTTTTATAAAAAAAAAACTAATTACCCTAGTAACAAAGTGGATATTAGTTTAACAAGTATGCAAAGTTATAGGTGGCGACTTGATTTAGATAAACTGGCAGAAATTGCCAAATATATATATATATATATATATATATATATATATATATATTGATTTATTTAAAATATGTTTTTTTTTTCGCTACACAGTTCT